CAGGGAGCTTTGAGATGGTTGAACAGAAGCTCTCCAAAGCTCTAGGTGCTCTTACTGCCTATTACAGGGAAAACCAGCTGATTCCTAATCCATCTAAAACACAGATGTGCTTTTCATCTTAAGAACAGACAAGCATCCCGAGCTCTGAGGATTACCTGGGAAGGAATCCCACTGGAGCATTGCAGCACACCCAAATACCTGGGAGTCACCCTGGACCGTGCTCTGACCTACAAAAAGCACTGCCTGAATATCAAGCAAAAAGTGGGCGCTAGAAATAATATCATACGAAAGCTGACTGGCACAACGTGGGAATCACAACCAGATATATGCTGCAAGTCACTTCTGGCGTGAGAGAATTAGCCATCTATAAAGACATTGCCTAGGGGACGCCTTCCCACTATCCTTCTCTCATGTCCCCCTTGGGATCCTCCAACCTGAGGATCACAACCAGATACAGTGAAGACATCTGCCCTTGCGCTATGCTACTCTGCTGCTGAGTATGCATGCCCAGTGTGGAACACATCTCACCACGCTAAAACAGTGGATGTGGCTCTTAATGGAGACATGCCACATTATCACGGGGTGTCTGCGCCCTACACCACTGGAGAAATTACACTGCTTAGACGGTATTGCACCACCTGACATCCGCCGGGAAGTAGCAGCCAATAGTGAAAGGACCAAGGCAGAGACATCTCCAGCTCATCCCCTGTTTGGGTATCAGCCAGCACGTCAACGACTTATATCTAGACATAGTTTCCTAAGATCTACAGAGACTCTCGCTGGAACACCTCAGCAAGTGAGAGTCCAAAAGCGGCAGGCTCAAAACCAGAATTGTATACCAAATGAGAGACTCCCCCCTGGGCACACAGAGGACTAGGCGACTTGGAAGGCACTGAACAGACTGTGCTCTGGCACCACGAGATGCAGAGCCAATCTTAAGAAATGGGGCACAAAGTGGAATCCACACATGCGAGTGTGGAGAAGAGCAAACCACTGACCACCTGCTGCAATGCAACCTGAGCCCTGCCACAGGCACAAGGGAGGACCTTCTTGCGGCAACACCAGAGGCACTCCAAGTGGCCAGATACTGGTCAAAGGACATTTAATCAACTACCAAGTTTGCAAACTTTGTGTTTGTTTTGTTCTGTTAGAAATGTAATACAATTGTCTGGTTAGTGCCGTGACCCCTTAATACGGTTCCTCATTTTGTGGTGACCCCCAACCATAAAATTATTTTTGTTGCTACCTCAGAACTGTAATTCTGCTACTGTTATGAATTGCAATGTAAATATCTGATATGCAGGATGTATTTGGTCACAGGACCAAATTTGGCGCAAATACCCAATATGTCCAAATCTGAATACTGGTGGGCTTGGGGCGGGGATTAATTTCATCATTTGGGAGTTGTAGTTGCTGGAATTTATAGTTTACCTACATATTATGAACTCCACAATTGATGGAATTGAACCAAACTTAGCACACAGAACTTCCGTGACCAACAGAAAATACTGGAAGGGTTTGGTGGGCATTGACCTTGAGTTTTGGAGTTGTAATTCGCCTTCATCCAGAGAGCACTGTGGACTCAAACAATGATGGATCTGGACCAAACTTGGCATGAATACTCGATATGCTCAAATGTGAACACTGATGGAGTTTGGGGGAAATAGACCATGGCATTTGGGAGATGCAGTTTCTGGGATTTATAGTTCACCCACAATCAAAGAGCCTTCTGAACCTCACCAATGATAGAAGTGGCCCAGACTTCCCACACAGAACCTCCATGATAAAAGAACATACTGTGCTTTCTGATAATCTTTGGTGACCCCCTGAAACCTCCTTCATGACCCTCCGAGGGGTCCAGACCCACAGGTTGAGAAACACTGCAGTAGGGGTTTGGATGGTGATTCCATGCCAGGTTTTAACCCAAGTTTCAAAGGCGCTTTTCCAAAATGATTTGTGTGTATATGTATGTGCATGTGTGTGTGCGTGTGTGTGTGTGAGGAGCAATTTGAGAAACTGCAAGTCGCTTCTGGTGTGAGAGAATTGGCCATCTGCAAGGATGTTGCCCAGGGGACATTGCCCGAATGTTTTGATGTTATACTATCCTGGTGGGAGGCTTCTTTCATGGCATCGCATGGTGAGCAGGAGCTGACAGAGGGAGCTCATCCACGCTCTCCCTCCGACCTGCCAGTCCTCAGTCCTGCTGGCACAAGGGTTTACCCATTGCGCCACATGGGTCTCCTTCCAAGATGCTGAAACTACCCCACACCAGATCTAGCCTTTTGGAGAGGTCATTTAAAGTGACCCCAAATCCAGTATGGATCCAAAACCCCTACGAAATGGAAGCTGTCAGCCTTGATATAGGGATACTGTGCCTTGATTTAATATAGAGCAGAAACAAGTCCTTTCCCCCCACGTTGCATATCTAGGTGCATCTACTGTGCAATGGATGCCTAGGCATTGTAATGTCATGGCAGCCCTCAGGTGAAAACAGACACTATGAAGACAAATGTTCTATTTTCTGTGTATACTTTTGAAGGTGTATCTAGGAGGAGGAGAAAGAAGAGGAAGGGGTGGAAGAAGGAAGAAGGAGAAGAAGGAAGAGGAAAAAAGGTGGAAGAGGAGAAAGCGGTAAAGGAAGGAGGGTGGTGGATGTGGGAGAAGAAGGGTAGAGGAAGAGGAGGATGAAGAGTAGAAGAAGAAGAGGAAGGTCAGAGGAGAAAAATGAATGCATGGAGGAGAAAGAATTGAGGAGCATGGTCTTGCATGACTTTCCAAACCAATGCTCTAATCCAGGTATGGGCAAATCCAGGGCCGGGGGCCGGATGCAGCCCCTTGAGCTCTTTTCTCAGACCTTCCTCTTTCTCACCATCCTATCCTTCCGTTTCTCTTTCCTCCCTCCCTTCCATCTCTCTCTCTTTCTCCCTTCCTCCTTCCTTCCCACTCTCTCTTTCCTTTTCCTTCCTTCCTTTTGGTCTTTCCTCCTTCCCTCTCTTCCCTTCCACCCTTCCTTCACTTCCCCCCTTTCATTCTTCCTGCCTTTCCTTTTTCCTCCCCCTTCCCTCTTTCTCTTTCTCCTTCCTTTCCTTACTGAGTGTCAGCTGCATTAAGATCACTCTGACCAAAAAGGTCATGAGTTCGAAGCCAGCCCGGGTTGGAGTGGGTTTCCAACCAATTGTGTGTAGCCTGTTGTCGACCTTTGCAACCCGAAAGACAGTTGCATCTGTCAAGTAGGAAAATAAGGTACCACCTTAAAGTGTGGGGAGACTAAATTAACTGATTTATGAGGCCATAAAGAAGACTCCAGCAAAGCATTCCAGCAGGGAAGCATGCGGGGAATGCAGAAGTGCTTCATCAGCGTCGCAGATGGACGATGAAAGCGACAGCTCCCCTGGCGGCCAGAAAAAGTTAAATAGCCTCTGTATATGTCTGTATATGTTTGTATGTCAAATATTGGCATTGAATGTTTGCCATATATGTGTACATTAATCCGCCCTGAGTCCCCTGCGGGGTGAGAAGGGCGGAATATAAAAGCTGTAAATAAATAAATAAATAAATAATTGTCTTTCCTTCCTTCTCTCCCTTCCTTCCTTCCATACTTCTCTTCCTCCCTCCCTCTCTTCCTTCTCTTTTTCCTTCCTCCTTTCCTCCTGGGGGATGTATAGCTGAAGAGAAGGTAGAGAGGGAACATGAGAACCATGTTTCAAGATTTGAAAGTGTGTCCCATTGAGGAGGAAGGGGGAAAACTGACTTTCCGCTGCTATAGAGACCAGGGCACAAGGAAGCCATGGTTTCACATAGCAGGGAAACTAATTTGACTGAAAAGATTAGGAAGAACTTCCTGGAGAGTGGCATAGGCTGCCTGGGAATGTTGTGGAGTCTCCTTCTCTGGAGGCTGTATATCGGGAGTGCTTTGATTGTGCCTTCCTGCATGGCAGGGGATTGGACTGGATGGCCCTTGGGGGTCTCTTCTAGCTCTAGGATTTTATATCAGGTGTAGGCAATACGAGGTCTAGTGGATACACTTTTTCTCTCCCATCCACCATCTCATCCTGACCAAGGCCAACCCTTTTGGGATTCAAACAATTCCCGTCTTTCCTTTACTTTCTGCCTCCAAAAGAGAAGTGGAAGGGGAGGAAAAGGCAGGGAAGGGACTTCCCTCCCGGCCTGCCCAACCTGCTCTGGCCTGCCATGCGCCCCCCAAGTTAGAAAGTTTGCCCATGCCTACTCTAATCTAAATACTCCCCAATCCATCCTTGCTGAATGGAAGAGAAGGAGGAGGAATTATGGTAGAGAAGGAAGAATGGGTAGGTTATAATTGTATTGTTTATTTTGTTTATTGCTTGTTGATTTTACTATTGTTTGTTGTTTTATCATGTGGTGGTGTGGTGGAGGCTCCTTCTTTGGAGGCTTTTGAACAGAGGCTGGATGGCCATCTGTCAGGAGTGCTTTGAATGCAATATTCCTGCTTCTTGGCAGGGGGTTGGACTGGATGACCCATGAGGTCTCTTCCAATTCTGTGATTCTATGATTCCATCATGTGTTGTTGGGCTTGGCCTCATGTAAGCCGCTCTGAGTCCCTTGGGGAGATGGTGGTGGGGTATAAATAAATTATTATTATTATTATTATTATTATTATTATTATTATTGTTATTATTGGAGGAATGATGGTGGAGGACAGAGGAGGAGGAGGAAAGATGGAGGAAGGGAAGAGAAGGTGAAGAGGAATGGTGGGGATGATGGAAAAAGAAGGAGGGGAGGAAGGTCAAAGGAGTAAGAGAAAGGGGGAAGGGAGGAGGAGGAACATGAGGAGGAGAAGGATGGAGGAGGAAGGATGAGAGGGAAGAAGAAGATGATGCAAAAGAGAAAGAATAGCAAAGGAGCATGACTCCAGCACAGTTTTCCTAACCCACTGCTCCAACTCCTCCACTTCCCAGCCTTGCTGCTTCTGTGCCCCGCGAGGCATATTTGTGGCCCTGAGAGCGAGGGGACCTCCTCACCTGCACGATCTCCAGCATCTCCTCCCGGCTGATGTACCCGTTACCATCCAGGTCATACATGCTGAAGGCCCACATGAGCTTCTGCTCCAGCTTCCCCCTCGAGGTGACACTCAGGGCGATGATGAACTCTCGGAAGTCGATGGTGCCGTCGCCATTGGTGTCGAAGGTGCGGAAGACGTGCTCGGCGAACTTGGAGGCGTCACCATACGGGAAGAAGTTGGCGTAGATCTTCTTGAACTCCTCCACATTGAGGATCCCGGTGGGACAGTCCTTCAGGAAGCCCTTGTACCACTCCTGCAGCTCCAGGTCCGAGAACTCGGTGTTCTCCCGGAGGTCCTGCAGCATCTCCGGGCGCAGCTTGCTGTTCTGCTTCCCCATGGTTGGATCGAGGCCTTGCACTGGAAACCAGGAAGGAAAAAAGACGGTCAAAACAGAGTGGTTTTCCATGCCAGTGGGATGGTGGATCCAGTCCAGGCCTTTGCCTGTACCTTAAAGGGACTCTCCAAAGTGCTGAACCTATTTGAGCAACAGAGGAAGCTCCCTTAAAGGACAGATGAAAACCTGGTGGATTTCCCACTTTGCTGACATATTATAGATTAAATGCAGTTTGCCACCACTTTAACTCCCACAGTTTGATGCTATGGGATCGTGGGAGTTGTAGTTTGGTGATGCACCAGCCCTCTTTGACAGGCTGTGAAAAACTCCCATGAACCCACAGCATGAAGTCACTGCAGTGAAATGCTCTCAAAATGCATTAAGTTGAGTCTCCTTCGGGAGATAAAGTGGAGTATAAATAAATAAATAAATAAATAAATAATAATAATTTCGAAGGCTTTCATGGCTGGAATCACTGGGTTGTTGTAGGTTTTTTCGGGCTATATGGGCCATGCTCTCCACCACCACCCATCCACAACCCACTATGCCCCTCCACCCCACCTACTCCCCCCCCCCCCCCCCACCCATGGTCTAGAGGCATTCTCTCCTGATGTTTCCCCTGCATCTATGGCAAGCATCCTCAGAGGTAGTGAGGTCTGTTGGAACTAGGAAAAAGGTTTATATATCTGTGGAATGACCAGGGTGGGACAAAAGACTCTTGTCTGCTGGAGCTAGGTGTGAATGAACACAGCATTTTATTTGAGAACACAGAAATGCTGGACCACTCTCACAACCACCATGTCAGACTACACAGAGAAGCCATTGAAATTATTATTATTATTATTATTATTATTATTATTATTATTTACATCACTTATATCCCGCCCATATCAGCCCACAGGTGACTCAGGGCGGTCTACATATCGGCACAATTTGATGCCATCAATACAATACAACAGCAAAAACAATTAAGTGCATTTAGACAAAAGAGCTATATCCTCTCATTCCAATCCTCATCCGTTTCATCGTCTTGGCCGTTCCTGGGTCATTCTCCATCTCAAGCTTGACTATCTATTCCGGGGTTCTGAAGGCTTGCTCGAAGAGCCAGGTTTTTACTCTCTTCCGAAAAGTCAGGAGGGAGGGGGCTGATCTAATATCCCTAGGCAGGGAGTTCCACAGCTGAGGAGCCACCACAGAGAAGGCCCTGTCCCTCGTCCCTGCCAAGCATGCTTGCGAAGCAGAAATACACAAGCATGTAGACAATTTCAACAGAAACGAGGAAACCATGAAAATGAACAAAATCTGGCTAGCAGTATTAAAAAAACTCTAAAATTACAACAGCACAACAACAGAGAGGAAACAAACAAGGACATCTAATCACCTCTTAACAAAAGTTTGCTCCAGGCACTGTCAGGCCATTATATGCTAATCAAGGTGGTCAGTTGAAACATTCACACCTAGCTCCAGCAGACAAGAGTTCTTTGTCCCACCATGGTCATTCCACAGATATATAAACCCATTTTTCCTAGTTCCAACAGACCTCACTACCTCTGAGGATGCTTGCCATAGATGCAGGCGAAACGTCAGGAGAGAATGCCTCTAGACCATGGCCATATAGCCCGAAAAAACCTACAACAACCCAATAATAATAATAATAATAATTTAATAAAATCTACAGCGTAGATGCACGTATGGAATCTACTAGCTGCTGCTGCATGGTACAAATGCATAATGGTATTCATACTCAGACAGTCATCCTGGTTGATCAGAGCTCTATTTTGGGCATTAAAGGCATTCTCCCATATTTACATGCAGTAGTCTTGCTTCATTCATCTGGAGTTCTGTGCACAAAAATGAGGGCTAGAAACTTGCTTCCATTTAAAAAAACAAACAAAGCACTGAGACCAAGACCCTAAAGCACAGTTCACATTTTGCAGCATTATGAAACTGCAACTTCATTGCAGAAGTGCAACGGGACTCTGTTAGTGCATTGTGAAGATGCAAATCTTTGCACCAGCAGGAGTCCTCCAATGCTCATGGAGCATTCCTGATGCACATTAAGAGCCTCTGATATGCACCAGCCACTCTCATTGTGTTGTGGCCCTTCTTAGCCGGCATCTGGGTGTGCATTTGTTGACAGTCCTGATGGACATCAGTTACTATGTCTTTGAGCAATGGATGCCCTTCTGTCAAAACATTATGGCAGCATCTATATTAGAACTGACATTATAAAACCACAGTTTTTAGTTTTGTGTGCACAGAAGACCAAATTGCAGAACCAGGCTTGGGTTAATGGTTTGAGAGTTGGACTATAATTCTGGAAACTGGGGTTCAAATCCATTCCAAATCCATCTTTGGCAGGCCACATTCTCTCAGCCTCAGAGGAAAGCAAAGAAAAATCCCCTCCAAAACTGTGCGATTGGCTCACCATAAGCCAGAAAGCATCCTTGAAGTGACTGGACTGACCTTGAAGGAGCTGGGGGTGGTGACGGCCGACAGGGAGCTCTGGCGTGGGCTGGTCCATGAGGTCACGAAGAGTCAGAGACGACTGAACGAATGAACAACAACAACAACAAAGCCAGAAAGGACTTGAAGGCACACAAAAACAACAACAACAACAGTGTTAAAAAGTCCAAATTGCCTAAATATCCCAGAGGCATCAGATCTTGTCTGACCTTAGAAGCTAAGCAGGGTCAGCCCTGGTTGTCACTTGGATGGGAGACCGCCAAGGAATATGGGGTTCCATAGGCTCTATTTTGGAGGAAGGAGGCTTTCTTTTCCCTTTGTCTTAGCCCCTGACTTAATGAGACTCCTCTAATTGGGACTACTAATAGCATCCGGTCCTACATGTGAACCTATCGCAATTACAAAAACAGCGGCTCTGATCACATCTGAAGTCCATAGCAAGAAGCATCGTTCTCCATCCCCTTGGGACAGAAAAGCATCTTTGCCAGAGAATTCTGCACAATGTTAAGCCCTTTTCCTCCCCAAAATTAATTGCTATCCATTTTTCACATTTGTCCAGGGCTTCCAGGAGGAAAAAAAGACATTGTGCCTCATTATGGCTAAGCTTCACTGTTCTCTCAATGTTGAATATCTCTCTGGGCTTATCGACAGGAGAGAGAGAAAAAAAAACGATAAGAGAAAAGGGAGAAAATGTCTGCAAAAGAATGATTTTGCTTCCTGCCCTGTTCAGACCGGATCCAGGATATAAAACTAGCAGGAGAATCTCTTGAAGAAACGAACAGGAGAAAGAAGGAGAAGGGCTTCCATGCGCAGATTCATGACCTCTCCATTTATCCCACAGTACGGAGGCCATTGAGGGTGCATCTGCACTCTAAAAGTAATGTAGTTTGACACCACTTTAACTACAATGACTCAGAGCCCTTGGTGGCACAATGGGTTAAACAGGTCGGAGGTTCAAATCTGGGGAGAGTGTGGATGAGCTCCCTCTGTCAGCTCCAGCTCCCCATACGGGGAAATGAGAGAAGCCTCCCACAAGGATGGTAAATCATCAAAACATCCTGGCATCCTCTGGGCAACCCCTTGCAGATAGCCAATTCTCTCACACCAGAAGTGACTTGCAGTTTCTCAAGTCACTCCTGGCACTTGTTATTATGGGAGTTGTAATTGCATGAAACATTGGCAGAGAAGGCGAAAGGCCTTGCAAAATTACAACTTGCATGACTCCATGGCATAGAGTAATGGCAGTTAAAGTGGAGTCAAACTGCATTAATTCTGCAGCACAAATGCAGCTGAATCCTGGGTCAAATTTTTAGTGTCAGCCATGAAAGAAACTATTTGGATTTTTGGAATTCAGCTGCTGCCAGAAGGTTCTCTTTTCAAAGACTATGGGCCCAAGAAAATATGTGGTGACAGTTCCAGAATTTATAGATAACTGGTTTTCCTCTTTCCATATTAGAAGCTTGTAGGGCCAAATTACTGCAGTCTGAAAGGCATGCATTCTGTAAACAGAGCATCCCAAATTTCAGTTTCTCATTTGCAAAGTGAAGAGAAAAAAAGAAATGCAGCAGAGAGAAACAGAAATTGGAGGTGCTCCTTAAAAGCAAAGGTGAACTCTTTGCCCTTTTGTCTGGCAGAGAGTCCATTATGCAACTTCACAAGGGCAGGCTTTGCAACATATCCGCTGAGGGATCGGTTGCTGCCTGATGTGCATTTAAAAGGGAAAGCTACCCAATGCAATTCTAAATACAGAATAATAGGTGACAAATCCCATAGTTTCATTAGGACCATAGTGGAGCCGTGGTGGTGCAATGGGTTAAACCCTTGTGCCAACTGAACTGCTGACCTGAAGATCAGAGGTTCGAATCCATGAGACGGGGTGAGCTCCCATCTGTCAGTGCCAGCTTCCTATGCAGGGATGTGAAAGAAGCCTCCTACAGACATCTCTTGGGCAACAACAGCCAGTTCTCTCACGCCAGAAGCGACTTGCAGTTTCTCAAGTCACTTCTGACATAATAATAATAATAATAAAAAGACCATAGATAACAATCAAACAACAGTCTTATGGTAGATCCACTGAATCAATGGGATTCAACTATGGGTTGATTATCTCCTCAGCCATTGATTCAATGGATATACTCCAGCTGCAGATATAATTTCCAGCACACATTATAAGACTAAGTCATTGTGCTCTCCATATACGAGGGTTGAATAAAAAGTAATGCCTCCACCTTTGTAACTCCTCAATAGATGGCAGTACTGGTATGTGGCAGTTACTGGCTTGTTCAGTAGACTCTTCTCTACAGTTCCATTTTGGCGGGAAGCCTTAGCATTGAATGGTTGTGTTGTTAAAGTGTGAAGTATGGAAGCCTGCACAGACAGTCAGTCAATGCGACTTAAGCAACGTGCAGTCATTGAATTTTTGAAAGCAGAAGGTGTCACCTCAACATCTTTAAACTAGCTCGCCCAACTCATATCAACATAATCACCATAAACAGCTTGCATTCTCTGATGAATCTCCTTTGGGATGACACCTTCTGCTGTCAAGAATTCCATGACT